TCTTTTTCTTGCTTGTTAAGAGCTTGTGACCTTCCAGACCCTGGTAAATTTTCTTTTTTCCTATTTCTCTTGTATTCTGTAAGAGACTATTATCCCGTCATCGAGTCACAGATCATTTTTCTTGTAACTTGTACGGCACTCAAAATCCCAATCCAAATTACCCATTTTACCCTTGTCAAAGTCGGTCAACTGGAGGCAGTGTGTGTTATATTTACAGCCAACAAATTTCGCACAGTGTATGCTCAAAAGTCGAAGAAAGAAATTTGCAGTCAACAATAACAAAAAGGGGAAAAACCGCCACATTTAAATTTATGTTGATGTTGCACATCCAAATCGGGCGTTACTTTCTGTGGCGACTGTACTTACAGCTCTATTAAAACGAAACTTTTGCACAATTATGTATGCTACTTCATGATCCTACAATGTTTAAGATTATACATTGAGAGCTCTTTAAATTTAGAGCTATTATATCGAGATGGTACTCTATCGAAAAAATAAACACAATGAAAACTTATTACACTAATGAGATCGGAGGAAGAGATTTTGTGTTATTATAACGAGATGTTATCTTAGGGAGTGTTATTGTAATGAGCACTCACTGAGTTATATTTATTTAACCAACTAGCTGAAAAATGTTTTACTAAACTCAACTTTGCCTAGAGGTAGAAAGATTTTACTGTAGTTATATAGTATACTTTTATTGTATGTTTAACTATTAAGCTAAAAAGGAATTTGTATTTTTTTTACTACACATTTGATGTTGGATTATTATGTTCTTTCAGGGCATATTATTTTGATTGATGAGAATTTTATACCTCCCGGATAATTTCGATATTCACAGATTGGCTTAACATCGAAAAGTGGTTCTGTGCAGTAGTATCCAGAGTATAGAATATAGCAAACATGAGGTCCGGGCTCAATTCGCATTACACTTTCGGATAAGTCGGTACCAAAACATCCACCTCCCGGAGCACCAATTGTACGATTAGATTTACCTATCAAAGCTAAAAAAAATAGTGACATTAGTATGAAGAAGTTTTATATATTAACAAATTAAGCGAAAGTATCGATATGATCTTACAAATGAAACACGCTTGAGTGTAAATTACAGAAGCCAAACTTGCGGTCAGAAAAGAAATAATGGATTGGAACTTCATATTGCGTCGCAATTATCTTTCAATGATATAGATTTTTAGCTTGTTGAATTGCTTGTGAGTGTGAGGGGGGAAGCTCCTTTTATATTGGAATTGACTAGTTTTTAAAGGTTGCGTCTGACAAAAGCCTATCGCTATTACTATTACTCATGAGTTATTATTACATGTACATTTCAATCACGAGAATTAATTTCTTTTTAGTGATTTTTTTAACCAGACAATTCTCGTTTAGGGAAATTACCATACAATTCATACAACTGTGGTTTAGGAAATTATCATAAACCTTTCAATTAAGAAATAGCCATACAACTCATATGTCATATAACAGTGATTTAAGAACTTAATTACCATATAACTATCAAATTAGGTAATTATCATATACACGTACCGTAAACTGCTGTGACTAAGTACCACTCAATCGACATAATATATGATCCAAAAAATAAAGCGGTGTTTATTTTAGGGGTATTTTTTGTAGTTTAAAATTTGTATCTGTAATGAATAATGACCGGATAATTTGTTATTTTTTGATAAATTGAATGTCATCGAGATATTTGAATTATTTCCCATCGTTACAATTTTCTTTGCTTCAACACTGGTACTAATATTTAACACGTTCACTTTTTTATCGTTATTATGAGTATAATAATGTCATTTTATTATAAAAAATTTTTATTTCCTGAATGATGCTTAAATCTGTCTTAAGTGAAATGAAGAATCGAACGAAATATAGAGAAATTATAGAACAAATAAATGAATCAGCCGAGGAAATGGAAAATGATATAGTGCAGAACTCTTAAAACGACAATATTTCTCATGTTAAGAATTCTTTCAACTTCTTAAAAAAGAAGTAAATACAAAATTTATTATGATACTTACTGTTACCGTAGTAACAATAAATCCCTTAATTCCGCAATAATGCTCAACTAAATTCTACATGAAAATCTTACCGT